GTTTCATATTATAGTAATAACATCTCCAAAATCGTACTATAATACATCAAAACATTTGCATATATAATACATCAAACCATCTACATAAATAAATAGTCACTATTAAACGTATATAAATAAAAAACAAAAATATATATGCTACTATTAAACATAAATAAATAAACAAACAAACAAAAATGTAACAAATTCATAAATTTAGAAAGTATATAAATAGTATGCCACTATTAAACAAACAAACGAATGAACAAATAAATTTATTAATTAAAAAGTATATAAATTAGTGCTGTCAAACGATTAATCGCATCCAAAATAAAAGTTTTTGTATATATACTGAATGTGTGTGTATTTATATATACATAATAAATAAACCCAGTACACAGTCATATATTATGTAAACAAAAACTTTTATTTTGGATGCAATTAATCGCGATTAATCGTTTGACAGCACAAATATAAATATTATGCCACTGTTAATTAATTAAATAAATAAATTCCAATATTAAACAAAAAAAATAAAAATAAATATTATGCCGCTATTAAACTGAAATAAATGCATAAATATAAATATATGCCACTCTTTAACAAAATAAATACATTTATTTTTAAAAACATATATAGTAAACATCAAATGTGTTGTGAATGGCTGTGACAGTGTCACGCATCATTTTCACTTTCTGTGAGATCTGACAAATTACTTGTCAGTGGAAACTTCTTGCATCTTGCAAACTGTGTAAATGTCATGGAAATGAAGCCGCAATGCACACAATCTTAATGGTGCTTGATTTGGAGCTGAAATCTGAACCAGACATGCTCTTGATGGGTTTCGTGAAAATCACCCAAGCGCACCTCAAACCTGACATCACGTCTAAAACTCGACGTGGTTGACTTGTGAAGAGCAAACCAGCGACCTGCCAAACCTTTACAAGAGTCTTTTTAAAAGCATCTGTGATATCAATCAACATAATAATTGTATCCGATTTAATTAAATCTCACATCAAAGCCGTGTTTACAAAAACATTAGTGGTGAATGCAAATGATTGCAGAGGGAGAGAGCAGGAGTAATTACAGTACAATGGGAGCAGGAGGTGGGGAGGGCGCTGGATTCGACGGCTAAACGCTATTACCGCTGCCGCTTTCATCCTGACCATTACCCTGGAACAAACGCAAATAGGTCTTATCAAATCAAAGAGTCAAGGATTAAAAAAAACCCTGTTCATTTGACGCTGCCATGGCTGTTCCATTTGCAGAAAGCAGAAAACAGCTCGCGCAATTGCACCTTTCATCCCTGCACGAGAAACGTTTTTCACGTCAACATTTTGAAATCTGCCCATTTGACAAAGTTCTGAGGAACGATATGTAGCGTCTGGACCAATCAGACACACCATTTTTCATTTGATTTAACAAATCAATTATTCATTAGATTAACAAACATTCACAGACCCCTCACCCAATAAACATACTGGGTGCCAATGTCTGCAACGACACCAGGCCCCCCCCTGGTTACCATGGCAACCACGACACCTCTGCTAGACCAGATCCAGTTACGACCTAATGGCATGTTGAGAATTTCCCTCGCACTACATTTTCCATAGGAAATCCACAGTGCACAGTAAAAATGGACTCTTCTCTGATTAATTAATAGGAAAACCTTTCTTTGAATGAACACACATATCCTTCAGGTCATGGTGTATGTTGTAATATCTACAGCGGATCTAAATATCTATAATTAATTATAACTAGTTATGATTAATTATTCATATTTCCCCATGAGCTGATTCGCAACAGATAATACCGTCATAACATTTTCCTCTCAGTCATGTGCATGAAAACGGCTCTGTTCACAGCTTGCTATGATTGCAGTGGTTAGTATGTTGTGTTTGCATTCATGATACTCTTAATTACACCCGAGACCTAAGTAATGTGTTAACCAAATACCCACAATCAGAGAATTGAAGCCCTTTGACGTTTTCCATTGCATTGAATGCTATGGTGTTTTCCCAGATGCCACGAGTTGCACAGGTCAAGCTCTGTAACATGTCACCAGAGGCTTTATAAATGTAGGAGATTGTCCACTTGAACATATAAATGAGAGCAATCATAACGGCAGCTGTAGTCCTGCCCTACAGGTAAAACAGCCAATATCCCTTTTGATAGAGGCAGCACTACACTCAATGAAGCAGCTGAATGCATTAGAGCTCAAATAGCAAACAGACTGTTTGTTTACTCTTGATGATGCATGTGCATTAGCTGGTTTTTGAGTGATTTGCGCTTAAGAAACACTGATTTTAAGCTATAATATAATTCTTGTCACATTTTATTGATCTGAAATAAATCACAAACAGAATTTTGACAAATAATTACAAATAATTAAAAATATAATTACAAATAAAGATTTTGACAATCAGATGAAGCTGTACTTGCATGGCTGGAAACAGCTGCCCGAGGCATTACTTGAGTGACCGTTCAGTGAACTTGCCTTAAAGGGAGTTTGGCATCACTTCGAGAGTTCTAGGTGTTCTACTTTCATACTTTTACAGTTTTTACTGTATACGGTGTACTTTCACTACTTCCTGGTTGCCTGGTAACCTCACAAAATCACCTTTCCATGACACTAGATGCTGAAGTCCTAAAAGGGTCTTAAAGTCAACATAAACATTTGTACTTGTTTAATGAATGTACCTTGTCTTATTTTTATTAATTTTATTTGTAAACATTATTCCAAATAATTTAAAAAAAAATATCTTTAGTCAAATTGCAATAATTGGTAACACTTTATTTTAAGGTGTAGCTAGAGGTTACATGCACTTACTGTGGTAATAACAGCTGATAACATGTAATACTGTGTTTAATTACAAGCAATTATCCACTAAATCAAACCTTGTAACAAGGACCCTAAAATAAATTGTTACGTTACATGCACTTACTGTAGTAATAACAGTAAATTATGCATTATTACAAGTAACTAACCTTAAACCAAAGCCGGCAACACCTTATTTTAGTGTCCTTGTTACACGTTACATGTATTTACTGTAGTAATAAGGTTAAATAATGCATAATTACAAGTAACTAACCCTAAACCAAAGTCGGTAACACCTTATTTTAGTGTCCTTGTTACACATTACATGTATTTACTTTAGTAATAACGTTAAATTATGCAGAATTACAAGTAGCTAACCCTAAACCAAACCCGGTAACACCTTATTTTAGTGTCCTTATCATATGTTGCATGTATTTACTGTAGTAATAACGTTAAATTATGCATAATTACAAGTAACTAACCTTAAACCAAACCCGGTAACACCTTATTTTAGTGTCCTTATCATACGTTACATGCACTTACTTTAGTAATAACGTTAAATTATGCATAATTACAAGTAACTAACCCTAAACCAAAGCCGGTAACACCTTATTTTAGTGTCCTTGTTACATTTTACATGTATTTACTTTAGTAATAACATTAAATTATGCATAATTACAAGTAACTAACACTAAACCAAAGCCGGTAACACCTTATTTTAGTGTCCTTATCATATGTTACATGCACTTACTTTAGTAATAACGTTAAATTATGCATAATTACAAGTAACTAACCCTAAACCAAAGCCGGTAACACCTTATTTTAGTGTCCTTGTTACACGTTACATGTATTTACTGTAGTAATAACATTAAATTATGCATAATTACAAGTAACTAACCCTAAACCAAAGCCGGTAACACCTTATTTTAGTGTCCTTGTTACACGTTACATGTATTTACTGTAGTAATAACATTAAATTATGCATAATTACAAGTAACTAACCCTAAACCAAAGCCGGTAACACCTTATTTTAGTGTCCTTGTTACACGTTACATGTATTTACTGTAGTAATAACATTAAATTATGCATAATTACAAGTAACTAACCCTAAACCAAAGCCGGTAACACCTTATTTTAGTGTCCTTGTTACACGTTACATGTATTTACTGTA